AGTTGCCGCTATTTCTTTTACGTTAGCAGTGCTTCTTGCAGCACTTTGAGTTTGAAAAGTGTTGTGCAAATAAGCAGAGTGGAGCTCCACCCTTGTTTTTTTGCCTCCTTATAAAATCCTTAACAACTTTGCAGCATTTAACCCTTTTCTGCCTTCCTTTCAGTAATGGTTTCCACACTTCCAGTAGAGCTGTGTAGGGCGTATCATATGATACAGGCTGAAACGAATCGAAACCTGTCCAGCAGGTCAGCCCAAAGGCCCTGCTATTTGTTCATTACTCCAAACCCGATGACTGTAAAATGTCAGAACAGGTATTTCAAGATTTCTAGCAGCTGTACTAGCCTTTGTAAATATTAGGAGTCACGTTGCTCTCAGAAACTCATTTTCTGCTGCTTAATTGATAAATATTCAGGTTTTTTAATATTCACTATTACCTCTAGTTTTCATCCTTGGGATTCTATGGTCTTTATAATTACTTTAAAAATAAAATCAAGAATGCATATTTCTATTACTATTCTATTTAAGAAAACATTTAGATGTTAGCTAATCATACATACAAAGTTTAAAAATTTTACTTCTATCAAAATTTTGCCATGAAAAGTGATTGAGCTTTTATTGTAAAACCGACAAGTTTCCGACTATCAAGCACACTTTATATAAGAAAAGACAAGCTGAGTAAATAGGAAATTCAGTTTTCAAGTAATAGTTTCATTTATAATGGGGGTGGGGGATCTGTCCACAGCATCCTGTTGCAGGAAGAGGGGGTAGCATTTCACAAATTAACTGATTCTATACTTTATTACTGGCTAAGCTGCAGAAACAGTCATTGATAAGCACCTATCTGACCACATGAAGTAGGATGAAAGATCTTGCTGTAAAAGATGAAACCTTGAATTTTCCTGTCTACCAGAAAATCCTGATGGAGAATGCCCAGCCCTCAATTCACAATATCACTAAAGTACAGCACATTGTGCAGCACATCATGTCTAAATGGTAAAAATAAATAAATTAAATAAATAAATAAATAAAACATTTGAAGTGCCCCAGACAAAGTCTGAAAGTGGACTGAGGTACTTTTCATCCCCTCCAATGTTGACTGACAAAAATATTATGCAAAGTAGAGTAGGCAACATTCATCCACAGTGATGTAAACACAAATGGCTGATGGCAACTGTCAGGTTGAAAGGGACAAATGTTTTTTTTTTATTTTTATTATTATTGTTTTATTTTATTTTTGCATAGGATCCGACTGTTTTGAATAACTTTCTCCCATAAAATAAAATAAAATCAGTTGAAAACTGCAGTTTGTATTTAGCCAGGTTAACTTTGTTTGATTAATACAATTTATTTGATGATCTAAAACATTTAAATGTGGCAAAAAGCAAAAAAAATTAAAAATAAAAGCGAAAAAGAAAAAAAAAATCTGTAACGAGGCGACGACTTTTTCCACATGTTGGGACTTGGGGAAAGTTTTAGAGGCCCCACTGTATGTCCCGCTCCGAGGGCAGCTTTGCCAACCCCTGATGGTAAAACCAGGAAGAACAGAGGACACGCTGAACAACAGTCCTCTGTCGGAATGCGCCGCTGCTCGCTTTGGAGGGAGAGTGTGAAGTTATGGCTTTAACATGGCCGATACAGGTCCTCTTTTAACTTCGTGCATCATTTTCTACCTCTCGATCGGTGCCGCGATTTTTCAGATTTTCGAGGAGCCAAACTGGAAAGCGGCTAGAGACAAATACATTGAGCAGAAGGAAAACATCTTGAGGAGTGGCAACGTCACAAAGGAAACCCTAGATGAGATACTGAAGGTTTGGAGCTCTTTTTTTTTTTTTTTTTTAATTACGTATAGGAAAAAGTTCGTTATGACTTGTAACATCATGAAACGTTTATAAATGTTACTAAAAATGTGGTGTATTAAAGTAAAATAAATAAATAAATAAATAAATAAATAAATAAAAAACAACAACATCCAGTTACATGTGAGTCGGGATGTTTTTATTCATTATTACTCTAAAAAGACAGAAGATACTTAACTTAAATGCAAACAATTACAGGTAAAAGTTCCCTTTTATCATTCCCTAATTATACAAGTTAGTAACTGAAAGACTGACTGAAAGAGCAGCCACCACACGCCGCTACACGCCTGAAAGTTTCCAAGGTGTGTTCACCTGTGGGGGAATACTGAAACGTAATGTGTTCACATTGTTCCAAATATAGTCCGTTTGTATGGGTAAAATACTAGCAGGAGCTATGTTTCATAAATGTTTATTTGTTTTGTTTTTTGGGAGATTACATTGCTGTGTTTTTCCCTTCAGATAGCGTCAGAAGCCGCCGGCCAAGGTGTGGCTATTACGGGGGACAATCACCGCAACACATGGGACTGGGGCAATTCTGTTATCTTTGCTGCCACCATCGTCACTACTATAGGTATTACACCCATCATTGGAGTCTGTAACTAAACTAGCCTGTTGTTGTCCTTCATAATGAGCCCATGTCTCTCATTGCTTCTAGTGTTATACAAAGTACAGGGTTTGTTATAAGCACCAGGCGCATTTTACTTACTAATGTTAGCTTAATCATTTGTGATAACTTGACCTTTTGGACAACTCAATCTGTAAAATTGAACTAATAGGATACTATTCCTAACCTAGCGTCTATCTACTTATCAGTAGTTTTATTAATGACTTGCCGACTTTACAACTGTCTTACCTCTGGTCAATTTTCATTTTTCATTCATCTGAAGGTTACGGTAATGTTGCTCCCAAGACCAACGCTGGCCGTGTGTTTTGCATCCTGTATGGCCTGTGTGGGATCCCTCTCTGCCTGGTGTGGATAAGCACACTGGGGTCTTTCTTTGGAGACCGGGCTAAACGACTGTCTGGGATTCTGATAGAAAAAGGTGTTTCAGTGGTAAGACTTTTGATTGGATTTAAATCTGGACATTCATTGAACCATTCTCTTGCTTAAACATGCTTTGATCTCAATCGTTCCATTGTGGCTCTGGTAGGCAAATCTCAGTCCCAATCTCAAGTCTTTTACAGCCTCAAACGATGCTCTGTGCTTTGTTTCCCAGGATTGCCCATATTTTGCTCCATTCATCTCCCTATTAATTTTATCCAAATTTTTTCCACTTGCTGAAGAAAAAGCATGCACACAACATGAGGTTGCCCAATTTTAATCTGCAATACATGTTCAGTTAGGCCTAAAAGTTGTATTTTGGACTCGTCTGTGAGTTGGGAGTTTACCGTTTTAAGCCAATGAAAGTTATTTAAAGCACAGGGTGGTTATGACATGACTTCAACTAGTATATTTAGCAAAACAGAAAAATATAAAAAGAAATTAAAGTCACTATTTTCTCTGAAATTGATGATTTTCATGCTTTTCTGCTGTAGCGATGTGTTCATGGTTTTGCCGTCTTTACCTGAACTGTTTCTGTTACTCCTCCAAATTTATGGACCTCTTGACTTCTCTTATTATTACTCTACTTGCCCAGACAGTCAGTTCAGGTGGACGGCCGTGTCTTGGTCTATTCATGGTTTATACCATATTCTTTCCATTTTCATATGATGAGTTGAATAGCCCTAGTATGCGATGTTTAAAGTTTATGATTAAGTTTTGTAACATTGCTTTAAACTCCAGAACCTTCTCCTGATCTGTCTGCTGTGTTCCTCAGTATTTCTCTGATATTCTCTAGCAAACCTAGGAAGCCTTCATAGAACAGTTGTTATACTGTAATATAATTGCACACACTGCGACTCTATTTACTTGTTGACTTCTGAAGGAAGGTTCACAGGATTTTAACTTGTGTTACCAGAAAAGCACTTTCAAAATGTAATTTCTAATAAAATTTGAACACCATGCTTTATTATACATGCATTTCTTCTTTTGCCTTTTGACAGAAAAAGGTCCAGCTCACATGCACGGCCTTATTCCTCCTATGGGGCTTGCTGGTGCACTTGGTGATCCCTCCTCTTGTTTTCATGTCTGTGGAAGGATGGAGCTATCTAGAAGGGATTTACTTCTCCTTCATCACACTAACAACAGTTGGCTTTGGAGATTATGTGGCAGGTGAGACTTTTCACTCGGTACAGGGTGGCGGTGTGAATATGAAATTTGAAATGAACTGCACACACCTGAGAATCATTTCACTCATTTTGCAGGCGTAAATCCTGACATCGAATACCCAAAACTCTACAGGATAATTGCAGAGTTATGGATGTACATGGGACTGGCCTGGCTGTCTTTGTTCTTCAGCTGGAACGTCCACATGGTTGTGAAAGCGCACAAAGTGCTGAAGAAGAAACGGCACCATAGGCACAGGAACAGACCCTTGTACATGGAGTCAGACTCCGAGGACGAGAAGCAACAACAACCAGAGGCGAGGCCGACTGTCGTTGACATCTTCAACTTCCTTTCTGAGAAGGACGAAGACTACAGCACGGTCATCAAAGAGATCGGGATTAATGCGAGGAAAAGGAAACCACCGCCAATACAGAACATAAACCGCTCCAAGAGCTGCAGTGACATTTTGGCCAACAACATCCAGACCTTGGAGCACTCACCGCGGCACAAGAGGCACATCAGTTTAAGCGAGGTGTTTGCAAATGCAACGGTGGACGAAAGCAAACAAGAGGAAGAGGAAAACATCAAGGGACCCACATCAGAAGCGTGTGAAATAACGGACCGTGAGGAAAATAAAAATGACGGTTCCTCTGAATCAGTAGATGATGGGATCACCTTCACGGCACCAGACAGAGATGCTGCAGAAGAAGAGAAAGTGCAGCATCCTGATGGTGGGGAGACTCGATTTACGATATCTAAGGTGGCAGAAAATGATAGTATTTGTTTAGATGAAAAAGGATGATACATGCTCCCTGGCGAAACGGAAACAATATTTTCAGTTATATTTGATGGTGAGGTTACAAATATTTATGGAAAGTTTGGCTGTTTTCAGAGAGTCGGCTCTTGTGTGTCTCCCAAAAGATTTTTTTTTGTTGTTGTTTTCCATCTGTAGCCTCCTATTTTAGCTTAAACTTGGCAAATCAGAATATTTTAAATGTTTAGAAATCTTTTCGCATTCAATGTTTAGATGGTTAGAAAAACATCTAACCATCTGGCTCAGTTGCATATAATCAATGTCAGCATTGATTATATGCAACGATGTATGGATTTCAAGATTGTGTAATACATTTTTCATTTCGTAACGCTATTTTGTGGTTTTTATTGCTGTATTTATTATGTGCTTTAACATCAACTTGTCAACAAGACCAGAGATGGAAGTTAGTGACTATAATCTCATGTATTGTAAATGTTCATTAATACGTATTGTCCCATTTTTAAAAATAAACTTGAATTTATGACGGCTTTGTATTGCCAAATTTCATATAGTTGTTTTGTTGTGAAAGCAGGTACACTAATATTTTAATTAAACTTTAGATTTTTTATTTAACACAAAAAATTAACAAAGCAAACAAATGTACTAAAAAGAACCATTGTAACAATTTATTATATTATATTATATCTTTGAAATGAAATGGAAAATGAGTTGGGAAGAGCCATGATGTCTAATAAATAGTAACTGGCCTATATATGTATAGGCCTAACCCACTTTATCCAGCCCAGAGGATTTGATGAAGTGCAATTTAAAATATATTGGTTAAAATAAGAGACATAATAACCTGGCCCTGATAAGACCCTTTTCAGTAAATGTGCTTTCTGTGTTGATTTTGGTAGGTATGAAAACAATAAATGATTATAGTGAAGTTTTGTTGATTGATTAATTGAAAGTAAACATTTCCAGACTGCGTAAAAAAAACCTGATGTTTATATTTGAGTCATTATGCATAACTGCTACCCTGTAGGGGCTAACGAGAAAATCCACAATAAATACAAAGCTTCCAATTCTTGCTTTTAAAATTCACTGACATTGCGTTATACAATGTTTCCATGTTGAGTGTGTGCAAACAAAACAGCAGAACTGTATTTATCATTCATATCCGTTTATTTTAAGTCTAAATATTCCTACATTTTTGACTACTGCATCTAAAAAAAAATATTTTTAGATGCGTAGCAGATCCAAGTGTAAATAGCAGGAAAAAAGGTTATTCTGTTTTCTCATAATCTTCTTCTATGACAAACCAAGATAGTTTTATTGTACAAGAGAGATAAGCAAATTGTGTTTTTGGATAAATAGTGGCCAGTTTATTTCAAATCACAGTACAGGGCTTTGTGAAAGATTGTCCCGATGAGCAGCTTTCCCTCGTAGGGTGCAGCAACGGTGGAGCCCATCAGCTCATGACCATCGTCTCCATACTCCAGAGTTACCACTGGCTGATCTGAGACAATGTTCTTGATCTTGATGATCTGCAGGGAAGGTTGTTGCCAGTTATTTTATAACAATTGTACAAGTATGAATTGTAAAACAAGAAAAGAAACAGTTAAAAAAAAAAAAAAACAGAGACCTCTGAGCCAGGAGGATCTTTAGGATCAAATTTGGACAATTTGGTGGCATCCGGATGACAGCCCAGCCAGACGTCACCTGTCATGTGGTCCACCTCGACATTATCGCAAAGTGTTCCAACTGGAACAGACTGTTCAAAAAAACACACAGTACAAAAATGACAAAATCTAAAATAACAGCACATAAAATAAAATCATAGTAAAGCGCAACTTCTTTTTATCTATGTTGTATTCAGACCTTTGGAGCAAACAGAAAATCTGAAGATCAGGAGCAGTTTGAAATGCTGACAATGTATCAAAAGGCAGAACCGTCTTTGTCACTTCCAAGATTAGGAAACATGAAAACACACACCTTAATGTACACCAACCGTTCTCCATCTAATCGCTCAAAAACATCCACCTCATGATCCAGAATATCAGAAACATAAATATACCTGTTGGAAAAAAAAACAAAAAAAAAACAGTATTTGTCTAATACTTCCATCACTTTTAAAACTTCAGCATTATTTACAATGTGTTTTCTTAAAGTAAGAACTTCCATCTACTGGGATATTTTAGAGCATTCCTTCGCTTTACGAAGATGCTAATTTCGTTGTGCTGCATGAGTGACACATGCCTGCAGCTCCTAACGTACATTGGTATTCGCTGTACATACTGTACAGTACATCCACACACTTTTCAGAACAATCCTGTGTAATTAGTGAATTTTCTCAGTCACTGAATTTTGGATTTTCCCTTTATGTAAGCCATGATCATCAATTTAACAGAGATACATTCTAAACATATGTTTGGCATCTTATAATATGTGTGTAATAAAAGCATATGATATTAAAGCTTCACTTTCTATAAATAATTACTATGATAAATTCACTTTTTTACTATGTTAGTATGTTGAGGTACACACCTAAATTACAAGATTCATCGTGCATACTGTCATTGTTAACAATAAAATGAGGTGAAAATAACCTTTTGTCTGGAGATATATTTATCCCATTTCCAGACTGAATGCCACCAGCTGCCTCCCTCACTTCCTCAGGGCTGTAGTACACAACGTTACACCAGGGCATACTCAGGATGAGAGTTATCATTAAAGGAAGAGTATAACTAAAACAACGATCATTTGTCGCATAGAAATGCTCTGGTCCAACGGCGACAATGTCGTTCACACTGAAACAAATATAAGCAGTAATAAGATGGATAACCAAACATGTAAAACATACTGCTAAGGGTAAACCAGGAGGATTTATTGAACAGTTAATACCTGAACAGCAAAGGATGGGCAACAGTCTTTAAGTGCACAAGCGTGTCCTCCCCAACAAAACGAAAGATCTCTACCTGGCTTTTTTGCTGAGGATGATTGACAACGAACAGATATATAGAGTCATCTGTAAAATAAATAGTTTTCTGTCGTTAGACTCAGTGTGATTTTTGCTGCTAAATCTATGTATTTGATAGCATGTTTTGCTCTTTGGCAATCTATCAGAAGTTTATTTTCTACTTTAGCATAGTTCCAGTCAGTTTTCATGTAAGGTTGTCTGCACAGCAAGAAGCTTGTTAGAGGTGCAACAGGGCTAAGGGACATAATCCAAATATTGGAGAGTGTGTGTGAATATAATTGAATTTGTTTGCTTTATTTTGAGCTCAGAATCCATTCTCTCCTTCACCAGTAGGTTGAACTCAATTTTATAACAAGTCGTTGCTGTTTTGGGCCTTCCTACTTCATTTATTGTCCCATAAAGACAGCATTGTATACCCATAAATTTAACTATAGCATAGAATGTAAATTTTCTTTGAAGTTAAGTATTTTTCATGTATCATGGGAATAAATTATCACACAAATTCTCAAATTGTGCTTATCACTGTGTGAAAGCTATGATACGTTCAAACTATTACTAAGATCTGTCTGTTGCTAAGAATAGTTCAGAATGCTCTTTGGACTCTTTTTCACATTGAACTCACTAATCTTACCCCCAACTTCACTTTGCAGTTAATAGTTAAAACTTATTTACCTATACTTAAAACCATTGACTAAATATCTAAACTAATGAACAGCATTATAAATGTGCTGAATTGTATATCCTTCAATGAATAAAATCAAGTTTTGTTGAGAAAATTGAAGAAAAAAAGGCAAAAAAAAAAAATACATTCTCAAGAAATGCTGATCTATTTATGCGTTATTAAATTACTGACTGCAATTACTGCATTTCTAAAGGCTTTTTTAAAGATACATCAATAAGGTCATAACATTCTACATTATTGCCAAAATGTCATTATAGATTGAAAAAACTCAATTTTATTTGCAAAAAGGTTTATGTTACTACATTGGTATTAGTTGCTACAATCATTAAAAGAAACCACCAGTGCTGTTCATGCATCGATTGACTTCAGAAACAAATGAGAAAACGATTCCATGTTATATTTCGAAGCTGGAATGTGTTCTACCTGCTTCATTCGTGTATACACTAATCCCATGTGGGTTGAAAGAGCTGAGGTCCAGTCCTCCTTTGATTTGCAGTTCCACTGGGGTCGGTTTTGGGTGCAGCAGATCCAGAACGTACATTTTCCCTGGTTCATTGGAGAACGAAGGCAATTCAAGATAATCATGCAGCCCCTATGTGGATAACAGTGACTGTGTTAGAGGTTTTTATTGACAGCTATTTTTACAGGAAGTTACTACAAGTCTGCTTTTTCTTTTGGTAACTTCTGATTATTTTCCAAATCTATTGTGTAACATGAAAGCCATCCCCAGCCAGAGAGCATTCTCATTATATTACACACTTGAGCAACATGATTCGAATTACAAAGAAAAAATCAAACCAGATTAACTACGAGATGTTCAGTGAATAAAAAACATACTGTGCTCAAAAAGGCCAGTCCATCTTTAAGTATAGTGATATCCTCTGCTCCATACTCTGAAAAAAAAAAAAAAAGGGTTTATGGTATAACGTTACTTTTCGTTCTTTAAGTCTGCTGTCTTGTTGACACTTGACCTACTTTCAAATGTTTGGACTTCAGACTTTCTTGTTGCTCTTATATGTTACAAAAAGAGCTGAATTAAGTTGGTGCAAAAACAAAACAAACAAAAAAAGAGAGAGAGAGAGAGATTTGTGTACCCAAAATAGAAGACACTTCTACGTGAAGAATGCATACCTATATTGGGCAAATAACGACACTTGAGGTGCTTGACAGGCATTTCTCTGGAGGCAAGACTCAGCCTCCTGCAGAAAAACAACTATAGTCAACAAAATCAGCTTGAAAGTTTACGTTTTAAGCTTCGATGGACCTCTTTTTTAAAATGTAGTTTTAAATAACATTAACACTTCAAACATTAGACCGTTCAGGCAACAACTATCGGCATTTAAAAATATATATTGCCAGTCCTACATCTGAATTTCATCATCGGTCGAGAAAAGTTTAGATTACTTACTGTATTTTAAGAAATGCGTAGCCGAAAAAAGCAGCTACAGCGGCAACAGCAGCAGCGATTAGCGTTTTCTTTAGAGCAACCATGTTTGACTGAACTTCCGAAGTGCGTTTACACGCCTCCAACAAAGGTGGCGCCAAGGAGCAACAATTAAAAGTAGTGTTTGGAATGCCTTGGGGATAGAAAACAATCCAAAAACACTTGTCTTTAAGGTAACTATATTTTTTCTGAATTTATACTAGAGTTAACTAGGGAGTGTTCCTTATAAAAGACTTAAGTCATTTTGGTAGGACTGTGAAAGGTTTCACATAAATAAAATCCACAAGAAGTGAATAAAAACAAACAAAAAAAAGCTATTACATTCAAGTACGTCTGTTTATAAAAATATTATATAAAAAAAGTACGATTATTCTTTTAGTTTTTTCTCCTCAATACCCCACAAATTTTAAGTAGGGACTTGGGGAAAAAACAAAACAAAAAAAACAGAGTGAAAATACCTATGTGTTGGCTCTTGAAGAATTGTCCCCAGCCTCAGTCTGTCCTTTGTGAATCTTATTCTGGAATGGGCTTTACTTTACTTCAAAATCCTCTGTCCTGGTTGCTTGTGTATATTTTTCTTTCACCCTTTTCCTTCCCCTTACCTTTCCAATAATATACTTTGATACAGCAACCTACGAACAGTCAGCTTCTGTACTTGGGGGTCTTCAACCTTTACAATTGAAAGAGCCACTTTTGCTCCGAGTTCAGCTAAATGTTACATGAACTTTGGAAAGAAAAAAGACAACTTATAAATTGTGATAAATATCTAATATAGGAAATCTGTCACTTTTAAAAAAGCTCAATGTTATTTCTATGTTTGTGTTTTAAAATAAAACTTTCTCCCAAAGAGAATTAATATATTTTCTTCTACAGATATTTTTGAAATATTGATATTTCAAGAAAATTTTGCAAAAAACCCCCACAACAAAACTGATGAAAAGATAGATGTGAAACAATACTACTACTTTTAGAGTCATTCTGTTGTGCAAATGAAAAAAAAAAAGATACAATTTCTATCAGCGGATATTATTTATATACCATATGGCACAGCAGTTGACAATGTGTTAGTTAAAAATGTACTTTTAAGAGCGTTTTTATTTCAATTACAAATATTACAACCACATCAAACAACTCAAAACCCACATTTTCACTGAAAAGATCATTTTTAATGAACACAAACTAATATCCTGAATAATCTACCCATGTATTTGAAATGACTGAATTACTGTCCAACACTACAGGAGAAAAAAAAAAAGAAAGAAAATTCACTTGTAAATATGATTTTTCTTTTTTTTTTTTTTCAGCTGTGTGGCTCAGTAAGCGCCTACTTGGAGAGGTTCTCTGTTATCAGATCCTTTCAAGTATATTTTCAGAAGACTTTGTTAGGAGAAAACCCTGAACCCTGCAGCACATCACCATTAAAATCATCACCGCCCCGTCTAACCAAAGAGGTATATCCTGATTTCCATTTTATTGGCTAAACTTCCTTATTTAAACCCTTTACTGTCATGAGGACACCGCTGTCCTCATGGACATGTAAATGTTTTGAGTTGAGACAAGTTGAGAGGTTAATCACCTCCATTTGCCTATTTTAAATCACAACACAACGCTTTATGAAACACGGTCCCTATGAGAAGCTTCCCCCCGTAGACAGTTGCCACCGAAGAGCCCATGAGCACATTGCCATCATCTGTATACACCTGGGTCACCACGGGTTCATCTGAGAGAATGTTCTGGATGCGGATGACCTATAAAACAAATAAAATTAAATGTACCAAGCATAATCAGGCGTAATAAATAGTTAACACCACCACCTGCATTATGTCTTAGGAGAAGGTTAATGTTTTTATGTTCTTCTGTTTTGATAGCAACACAAACCTCTGAGCCTGGAGGGTCTTTGGGATCAAACAGGAAAAGCTTCTTTGAATTAATGTGACAGCCCAGCCAAAGGTCGCCGGTTTCAGGATCCACTTCGACGTTGTCACAGAGTGAACCCAAAGGCATAGACTGGTGAGGAAACAAAAATTACTATGCATCCAAAGAAAACTGTGAAAAAAAAGTAACCACTTGAGAAAAAGCATGCGCCATACCCATAGTTGGGCAATACAGAATCTGCTTTTTGACCTTTGCAATTCTAAAACTTTCCATGACTTTTGTCCTTAAAACAAAATATTTGTAATAAAGGCAAAAAACATTTTTTTAGAACGCAAGTTGCCTTCATTTTTATTAGACCACTACACAAATGATTAAGTTTACTGAAATTTTCCATCCAGTTGATCAAATATTACTGAATACTTATATTAAAAACAAAATGCCATTATAAAATCTGATGAAAAAGTAATCATAAACTAACTTTGATTTAAAAAGCACAGCAAGTTTGCATGCCTGAGTATTTCTACCTTTATTGGCGTCAGTGTGTTGTCTTTTTTCTTCTCCAATACATTCACACTGTGGTTTAATATGTTTGCCACATATATGTACCTATAAAGAAGAGGAATTTTTACAACCGTAAAGCAATACACACACACACAAAAGCAAACAGCCACCATGCTGGATACCCCAGGCAAGAATCCTCACCTTTGGTCTGGAGACATATTGATGCCATTGGCAAAGTGATAGCCATCAGAGACTACCTTCACTTCCTTAGGACTGTAGAACACGACATTGGTCCAAGGCATAAGCAAAATAATCTCCAATGTTTTCAGGAGATTGTTGTTGAAGTAGTGATCGTTGGTGGCATAAAAACTCTCAACCCCTACTGCAACAATATCATTCACACTGCAAAGGACAAAAATAGTCTCATATAAAAAATAGAATCATTTTTAAGGCCGATGACAAATTGTAGTAAATTTCAGATTATCAAAGAGTGTTCACCTGTGCAGTAGTTCGTGCTTTATGGTTTTAATATGCACTAGGGAGGAGCCATCTGCCACATATTTGAAGATCTCAATTTGGCTTCCAAACTGAGGATGATTAACAACGAACAAGTAGACCGTGCCATCTGACAAAGAAACACAAAAAGGAAAGCAACACTTTAGGAACTTCACAAACTAAGCTTTAGGAATGCAAGTGAGAGAAATGATGTAAGAAAACTTTAAATGAAAAAAGTGCCTATCAGGTGTTATGAATTTAATGTTATTTTGATTTTCATACGTAGACTCAAACTATTACATAGAAAAGAACCTTATCAGCAGATTTCATAGCAGCCTGGGAAAAACCATCCCCTCGTACTACGCTGTGCTTCATACGGAGGGTCTGGACTCTCGGCTGTTGAGAGACGATGGTTTCACGAAAGCGATTTTACCCAATCGCTAACGTTTGCCCGTGGCGTATGTTACGCGCCAGTTTGACACCATGGAGCTTACTAGAAATGTCCTGCAATGTAAACAACCATCCTCCACTGTGAAGAGAGAAGAGCTGGTCTGAACGAGGTGGCTGCTAATGTTAATCCAATATTTGGAAACATGGCCAACAAGAACTGAGCGACATTGTTCACTTCTTCAACTGTCATTTGCTAAAACTACAGGCAGACTGCAATTCTACAGCAGTAAAGAAAACTTCTTCTGTTTGCTGATTAGCCCAGTATAATTTTTTTTAAAAAAACTAAATTACTGGAAACAACCCAGGTCAAAGGGAGAAAGCCCAGACAGGGCTGGAAGCGAGAACTTTGAGTTGAATTGCACAGAAAGACAGTGGCCAGGCTAATTTAATGTGCTTAGTACTCATAATGTTTTACTGTTCTGCTCGTTCTAGAACAAGCGTAGAAAGCTGGTAGCTGATTTTTGTCAGGTGGAGAAGTCACTTGGCTGCTTTCATGAAAAATGAATCTTGTAGCATTTTGAGTAGACTGCCCAATAAAAGCAATTAGTTTATGAATGTTGTTTGTCTCGGCAAGCAAGTGAAAAGTGGAGGAGCCTTCTTTCAGTCAGCACAAAGTGAAGGAGGGGCTGTGTTGGCTTACTAAATCCTTCAAGTAAATAAAAAATTAAAAAAGACTGGTCACAATGGCATTTCTTTTGGCATTTCATTGAAAGGAGCTTAATTCGATTGAATTGTAATTTATTTTAAATACATACCGTACAAGTAAAGCGAATATATGTAAAAACTATTCAATGCGTATTGCAAAGAACTGGTTGGTATGCTGAAGTCCAATGCATTCAGGCACTGTGGTAATTTGGTGTTATGAATATATTGCAGAATAAAATGTTTTAGAAGGTTAAAGGTGGTAAAGTTGTTAAGCCACTAAGAAACTACAACTAAAAGTTGTCAAAAACAGCTGATGTAGGCCTGAAGGAACTTTTTAAAGAACACCTCGCTGTCTGCAGTCTGTTTGCACTAATCAGAGGTGATGGGTTATTACAACTTCACCGAAATTATTGCACATTTCCTAATATTGTGCAGCCCTATACTTTAATACCACAACCTGGCACAGACTCAGCAGCAACAGACAAGAGGAAGCTGAACAGTAGCTGTATGTCCTCAATTCCATAAACCAAAAGAAGCATCTTACCACTTGGATCTGTGTACACGCTGATGCCATGCGGGTTGAATGACTCCAAATCAAAGTTCCTTGGCATACGCAGCTCCACCGGTTTCAGATTAGGATCTTTGAGATCAAGGGTGTAGATTTTTCCAGGCTCACCCGAGGATGGGAATCCAGGAAACTTGAGTCCCTGTAAATATTTAAAAAGAAATAATTTAATCATAAAACAATCAAGCAACAAATTCTGATTATCGACAATAAATCCGACAATAATAAATGTCAACAGATTTAAAATGAAATATGGCCCTATGATTGAGTTTGCTGCACGTTTGCTTTATTATACAAGGGCAAAGACTTGGCTGCGTTACAAAATAAATACCCACACCGCTGATAAAGGCAAGGCCATCTCCCACAATGGTTATATCCTCGGAGCCATGTTCTGCAGGAGAAAATAATGAACCGCTACTTTAATATTTTCAAACACTGTTTTGGCTGCATTTTTGGTTGTTTCGTCGCTTGCCTATGTTTTTGAGCGCCACGCAGTTGGGGAGATGTTTGTTGCCCACCTCCCTGAAAATGAGGTGCCTTTTGCTGTCGAATTTAAGCAGAAAGTTACATTGAATGTAGCAAACAGGTTGAATAAACACAAACAAACCAGCTGACTTCCACCTTACCTAATATTGAGGACCCTCTCTCCGAGCAGGACCGAAAGTGCTGCTATTGCAATCGAAATGATTGCGAACTTTCCCATTTTCACAGCGCGACTGCAAACTTTTCACACAGTGCTTTAATCTTTATGGGCTCAGCCGCATGAGACGAATCATAACGGGAGGGGTCAATGCTGCTTTCAATAATGTAGGACAAATGACAACTGTTTCTTCTTGGTACAGACAGGGTGGTCGTATTGATTGATCGCTGCTCTGTTCGCATATTTTGGGTTGCGTTTAAATAGAGGTTCACCAGAACAAAAAATAATAATAGAAAACATTCATGGTTTTATTCATAGGACACAGGAGGTTGCTTTGTTTTGTGAGAATGTGAAGTCGCTGGCAAAAGTAATATCCAACACTACATAATTCAACGAATGCATCATTTTATGCACGTCTGTATAACAAGCTATTCACGCTTTAGTAACAGCTTTTTGTGTTTGTTTCTCACAGAAACCAGAAAAAAAAATCCCAAAGCAATAAGACGAAGTCTTTTATTTATTTTTAATTGATTGTTTGAAGTTACAAAATATTACGTAGCATAGTAAACCGCGAAGCTTTTTTTTTGTAACTTAAAAAGATTAGAAGAAATATTAGTTTTATTTGATTTACTTGATTTACTCAAACAAATAACCGGCAAATTACAGAATACATCGGCACGTTTTCACTGCAGTAAAAAGTCCTT